CCTGGAACTCACTATTTAGACCAGGCTGGCCTTGAACTCACAGAGATCCACCTGCCTCTGCCTCCCAAGTGCTGGGATTAAAGGCCTGTGCCACAACGCCTAGCCGAAGATTTGTATTTTTAAACATATGTTTGCAGTTCTCAGAGTTGTAGAGAGAAATTAATTTTCCAGTGGAAAAGAAGAGTGGAAAGATGACTTGGCCCCATTCCCACTGGCTTTCTGCATCCCCCTGAGTCTTACCCGGATCTTGCTGTTGAGGAGCCTATCATTGATGTCCTCATCAAAACACTTTTGTGGGTACACATCAATGCAGTAAGTTTTCAGGTTTTCTTGAATCTGGGGAACCAAATACAAGTGACCTCAGCCCACCATCCACCCTGCTGTCTGCATGCTGAGCCCAGCCCCGCCTTGAGCACCCAGATCACCCTGCTCCTGAAGGCATTTCGCTCCTCAATGGTCAGGCTGTCAGCCCGGGCAATCACCGGTACCACGTTCACAGTCCGGCACAGCCGCTGCAGGAATTCAATGTCCAAGGGCCGTAGGCTGCCCAGGACAGGATAATGATGATGGTGATGGTGGTGGATGAGGGAGGAAGGAGAGCCAGTCCAAAGCCCACATCAAAGACTCTCCTCCTCATTCCTTCCCCATTCATGTGGCCCTCCCCCAGCCAGAGTAGCCACCTCACCAGTGGCCAGTGGGTGGCACAAAGTACACGCAGCAGTGCACGCGGGTGTCAGGGATGTGACGCTGGCGGGTGATGAGAAGCTCCTCTTGCAGGTACTGTTCATACTGTTGGTTGATGTAGCTCAGCACTGGGTCCCAGCTAAGGCAGAGATGTCCCTTCAGTGCTACCCCCTCCCAGGGGCTTATGCCTCCTGGCTTCTGGGTGGTCTACCTTCAGGTGGATCCATGATCTAAATGTGCTAGGACCACTTGGTCACCCTACACTCCTATCCCACTCTCTGTATCATGTATCATGTAACAGAGATCCCCATTCTCTACCTGAGGCCTAAACTTCCCTGTCTGTAAAATGGACTCAGTAATGGTACCTACTAGCTAGGCCTGATGGCGCAGGCAATCAAGTTAGGAGGATTTCATGTTCAAGGTCAGCCTGGGTAATATCGTGAGTTTAAAGCCAGACTGGGAATTTTGGAAGAACTTGTCTCAAAAAATAAAATAAGACCAACAAACAAACAAAAAACCAAAATGGGCTGGAGAGATGAGTCAGCAGTTAAGAGCACTGACTGTTGTGGAGGATCCAGGTTCAGTTCCTAGCACTCACATGGCAGCTAATAATCATTTGCAACAACAGTTCCAGGGGATATGATGCCCTCTTCTGTCCTCCATGGGCACTGCATGCATGTGGTGTACTTTCATACATGTAGGCAAAACACATAAAATAAAAATAATATTTTAAGCTGGGTGTGGTGGTGCATGCCTATAGTCCCAGCACTCGGGAGGCAGAGGTAGGTGGATCTCTGTGAGTTTCAGGCCAACCTGTTTACATAGTGAGTTTCAGGCCAGCTGGAGCTACAGGGAGACCCTGTCTTTAAAAGACAAATAATAATAATAATAATAATAATAATAATAATAATAATAATAATTTAAAAAGTAAAAAACAGAGCTAGGGATGTTGTCCACTATTTGTCTAGCATGTACCACATTCTAGGTTCAATCCTTAGTATTCCCAAAATATATGTGTGTGTGTGTGTGTGTGTGTGTGTGTGTATGTACATGTTTGTGTCTGTGTTTATACATGTTTGTGTGTGTGCTTGTGGATATGGTGGCCAGAGCTCATCCTTGGGTTTTTTCCTCAGTTGTTCTCCACCTTGCATTTTGAGACAAGGTCTCTCACTGGCTTGGGACTCATGAATTTGGCTAAACTGACTGACCATCAAATCACCAGGATCCCTCTGCCTGCCTCCCTTGCAATGGGATTAGAAGCATGCACCCCTGTGCCTGTTTCTTTTTTATGTATTCTGGGTATCACACTGGATTCAAGGTAGGCACTTTACCAACTAAGCCATATCACCAGCCCCCTAATTTTCTTGACTCTCTGCTGAGGTCTTCTCACTTTGAGCTCTTGGCAATTCAATGTCCAAACAGATCCATTGATTGATTGATTGAACCCAGGACCTCCCATATGCTAGGCAAGCACTTTAATGCTGAGCTGCTGTATCTTCAGCCCTTTTTTCACTTTTTGAGACAAAGTCTCAATAAATTTCTCAGGCTGGCTTTGAATTCATGATCCTCCTGCCTCAGCCATCAGAGTGCTGGGGTTACAGGAGTATGGGCGTCTGATGCATTTAGTGAGCACCTAGTGTGTACCAGACTGCAAGCTGGAAGCTGTATATACCTAACACTCTTCAACTTTGGAGAGTGAGGTGTGTATATCCATTGTATAGATGAGAAAACTGAGGTCGATACATCAGATAGGCTTTTTCACGGTGGGTTCCCCTCCCCTCAGGGTTTGTAGGAGAGGAGCCACCTAACCCAGGACCTACCATTTGTCATTGTTGATCTGGTCCCCAAAGCCGGGTGTGTCTGTCACTGTCAGCTTCAGCTTCAAGCCCTTCTCCTCAATAACTGGAGGGAGAGAGGAGGGACAGTGTGGCCCCAGTGGGGTTGGTGGGGGGAGGTGGGGTCACTCACCGTGGGTCATGGAGTGCAGCTCCAGGGTCTGTGGCATGGGCAGCTCCAGGCTGGGCAGGCTTGACTGCCACACTTTGGACTTGAACAGTGTGTTCACCATGGTGGACTTGCCCAGCCCACTCTGCCCTGGGAGAGACAGAACATAGTGGCCATGGCATGTGTACCAGAATACATCTCTCATACTGTGTGTGTGTATGTGTGTGTGTGTATGTGTGTGTGTACCTGCCTGTTCATGTGTGAAAGGTACATGTGCAGTCATGTATATGTGGAGGTCAGAGGTCAACTTTGTATTTCAGTTTGCCTGATTTATGCAGTGCTAGGGATTGAACCCAGGGCTTCATGCATGCTAGGCGAGCATTCTATCAGCTGAATTATATCCCTAGTTCACTCTTAAACTTTTTTCTCCTATTTTAAAAATTATTTTTATTTTATGTGTATAAGTGTTTTGCCTACATGTGTGTAAGTGCACCTGTGTCATGCAGTGCCTGTGAAGGTCAAAAGAGGGTGTCAGATCCCCTGGAACTGGAATTACAGAGGGTTGTTTGCCATTTAGAAGCTGGGAACTGAACCTAGATCCTCTGCAATAGCAGCCAGTGCTCTTAACTGCTGCACCTCTCCCCAGCCCCTTATCTTTATTTTTTACATTTCTATTTATTTTGTGTGTGCATGTATATGCATGGGTATCAGAGGACAGCTTTGGGGTATTGATTCTTTCCTTTTATGTGGGTTCTGGGCGTGGAACTCAGATATGTCAGGCTTGGTGGCAAGTGCCTTTACCTGTTGATCCATCGACCACATTAGCATCAACAGTACAGCATCAAGGTCAGGAGTGGTCTGGAAGGACACCTCATGGGCGATCCATTTATGGGTGATTTTGTGTCTAATGACTCAACATCCTGTATGTTTAATCTCAGCCCGTCTGTGGCTGGTCAGGCTCCCTTGACAAGAAAATTGAGTCCAGGACCAGGAGGTGACATGCCTACAGAGTCTTCTTTCATTCTTCCCCCTGTGGCTCTGCCCCTCACTCACCTACTACCATGATGTTGAACTCAAACCCGGTCTTCATGGCTTTGATCCTCAGCTGGTCCAGCACAGCCTCAATACCCACAGAACCAAGCATTTCACAGGGCGGGGTCCTGGGGCTTGATGGCCTTGAAGAGCAGGGGGAGGGTGACTGTCTCTCATCCATGGGGCCAAGGTACAATGGTGCCTGTTGCTGAGAGGGTTTCAAGGAGAAGAGTTAGGGCTGGGGCTCAAAGAGGCCACCCTAAATAAGCTTGCTTGTTCCCTTCCTCCCTCTGTCCCTCCCTCTCTTCCTCCTTTTCTCCCCCTTTCTTTGGTTTTACATTGTCGTTCAGGCCAGCCTAGAACTCCCTATGTAGCCCAGGCCAGCCCGGTCTTGAGCTTGTGGCAATCCTTTTGCCTCAGTCTCCCAAGTGCTGGGATTATAGGCGTTCACCACCATGTCTGGCTGGAAGTTCTCATTTCTGATCCTTGACTGAGTGTTCTGTTCCTGGCCATGAACCATGCCCCCTGAGTGGCCTGAATCCCCATGGTCTCAGGGTAGGGATACTAAACTCCAATCTTGAGATACTCCGGTTTCAGAAATCTGCCCTTCTCCAACCCTCAGCACAGGTAGGGGACTCTGGTCAATTAAGGCCTTGGTGAGGATGTTTGTGGCTGGACTGGAGTTCTTAAAGAGCACAGGAAGGGGAAGTGAGTGGGTTACTGGTTTATGTCCCAACAGAGAACATGGGGAAGGGGCTTGGGAGTAGAGGGAGATAAAGAGCAGAGTTGGAAGAGATGAAGAGGCAGATCTAAAGTGAAGGGGTGAAGGGGGGAGGGGGGGAGAGAGAGAGAGAGAGGAGGAGGAGAGGAGAGAGAGAGGAGGAGAGGAGAGAGGAGGAGAGGAGAGAGAGAGGAGGAGAGGAGAGAGAAGAGAGAGAGAGAGAGAGGAATATCAATCCAGGCTGCAGTGGGCAGAGAAGATAGGCTCTGAGGGAGAAGGGCAGGTACCAGCAGGTCACAGCAGACAGAGAAAGAGAAGCCAGCCCATGTGGCACCTGGTGGATGAATCCCAGTGGAAGCAGCTGGCAGGCCTTGGGGTGTGTGCTGAGGGGGAGGGGAGGGCTGGCAGTTAGCCACAGAATCTCAGCTTCCTTCCTCCTTCCTGTGACCTCCCCCCTTCCCCCCTAGGTAGGAAGGACTAAGGCCAGGGATTTGGAGCACCTCAAGGAGTAACCTAACACCCAGCAGTGACCTTGACCTAATTACACAAGACTCCCACTAGAAGTGGGAACGCCAGGTCCTCAGGCAGCTTCCTGCTGGTAAATGCGAGAGCCAGGGCCTCCACTTTAAAGTCCTTGCCCCTTAGCCGTCTGTCCAAGAAACTGAATGGAGACCCACACTCTCCCATGTGGTTTCTTCACTCCACCCATCTAGGTACCACCAGTGTTAAACTGGAACTCCAAGAGACTGATCTAGCAAACGTCTCTAGGTATCTACCACCTAGGAGTAGCCTAGGATGCTGAGTCATCTGTGCCCTGTGAAGCTGGGATTTACACTCCCAGGTTACACAAGGGACAATCAAGCATGAAGTTCAAGGTCATAGAAGGAGGAAGTGGCAGAGCTGGGACTGTAAGCAGGCACTCCCTCCTGCCTCTCTTCCTGTTCATAGGAATGTGGTACTTGCCAGTGTATTTTAGATGACAAGAAGTGTATGATGGAGCACACCTGTAATCCCAGTACTCCAGAGGAAGAGACAGAAGGATTTCGAGCATGAGGTGCACTTATATACATGCAGGTAAAACTTTCAAACATGGTTGGGTGTGGTGGCACATGCCTTTAATCCCAGCACTCAGGAGACAGATGCAGGGGAATCTCTGTGAATCCAAGTCCAGCCTACTCTACAAGCAAGTTCCAGGCCAGCTGAGGCTACAGGGAGACCCCTGTCTAAAAAAAGACCAAAGAGAGAGAGAGAGAGAGAGAGAGAGAGAGAGAGAGAGAATTTGGGAAATGGATGGCTCAGGTGGTAAAGTACTTGCCACACAAGCATGAGGACCTGAGTTCAGATCCCCATTGCCCATGTAAAAGGCCTGGCATGGTGATTCATGCTTATAGTCCCAGCTCTGAGGAGAATGTGGTGGTACCTTAATCCTAACACTGGGGAGGCAGAGGCAGGCTACTGTGCATCTCTGTGGGATGGAGGCCAGCCTGGTTTACATAGTGAAATCCAGGCCTGTTGGGGCTACAGGGAGACCTGTCTCAAAACACAGACAACAACAAGGTAGAAAATGATTGAGGAAGATGTCTGATGTCCTCTGCCCTCCACAGATGCACTCCCATCAGCACAAAGATAAACATGTCCACACACATACACACACACAAATAAATAAATAAAAAACTCTGGGCACTTTGCCCTTCTTGGATGGATCATGTATTTTCCTAACACTTTATTTTTGAGATAAGGCATCATAAAGCCCAGGCTGGTCTCAATCTCCATATGTAGCCAAGGATGACCTTGAACTTTTGTTGTTTTTTTGGTCTTATTGAGACAGGGTCTCCCTGTAGCCCCAAGTGACCTGAAATTCACTATGTGACCAGGCTGGCCTGAATCACAGAGATCTGCCTGCCTCTGCCTACAGAGTGTTGGGATTAAAGGCATGTACCACCACACTCAGCGACCTTGAACTTTTGATCTGGGATTACAGGTATGTGCCACCACACCTAGCTTCATTTCCTTAACTTTCACTATAGCTGTTAGCCAAAACTCAAGAGACAGGTCTTTCTGACATACAAGCTTTGGTTGAGCTGGTACTAGATGCTAGTAGAGAGAGGACCAGATCCCTGTACAAAGATTCTGCAGCTTCACACAGCAGGGTTAAGAGTGGCTGGAAAATGTCCCCTGGACCAGAGTGAGGGCACCTTTACAAACATTAGGGATGGAAGGCAGTACTGTGGGTGGGAATGGGATGGGAAGGGGCGGGGCTTCAGGATAGGAGTACCTGCATAAGCAGTACCCATGGCTTGTGGATTGCTGAGGGTTACCATCCAGCAAGGTTAACACATAGAGCAAATAGTACAAGACCGGATAGCGGTGGTGGATTTAATATTTCCAGGTCAGCAAGATGGCTCAGTGGGGTAAAGGTCAGCTGGGGCTACAGGGAGACTCTTATGATTTAAATTTAATCCCCTGAGGTTACATAAAGGTGGAAGGAGAGAACTGAGAGTTGTCCTCTGACCTCTACACTCACACGGTGGGCATGTATTGCATGCACGCACACGCGCGCGCGCGCGCGCGCACACACACACACACACACACACACACACAGAGTAAATGTTAAAAAAAAATTTCCAAACTTGGGCCTTTGTAATTAAATTGAGGCCATCTCAGAATTTATTTTTGGTAGTGCTGAGAATAGACCTCATGGCCTCACACATGCTAGGCAAGTGTTCTACCCCTGAGCTACACACTAAGCCCAGGGTTTTCTCTTCTAGTCCTCATCCCTCCCTATAGTTTCTCTGACTTTAGGCTTCTTTTGTCTGACTCTCACTTGGTCCTGGCATTGATTTGGCAAGCTCTAAGTTCTATCCATACCAGGGGTCAACAGGTGTTCTCTGTGAGGGGGCCAGGCCGTCCCTGAACTTCCTTTCTACCTCCCAAGTAGTGGGATTACAGGCCCAGTTCAAGTGGTGCTGGAGATCAAATCCTGAGCCTTGAATATGCTAGGCACTCTTATCAACTGAGCTATATTCCCAGCCCTCAGTTTTCTCACATAGAAAAATGGGAAGAGAGTTTTCCTTTTAGGATCATTCCATGAACAAACCAAGTAAGGTGTATGGTGCGTTAGGTGAGGTGCTTAACATTGGATGATTTTTTCCCCCTCTGCTAAACCATGAAAGCCACAAGAACAAAAAATTGTGTCTGTCTGTATGACTAGGCTGAGTGTGGTGCCTGGCCCCTTGGGGGCCAAGAAGACTGGGTGGGGGTGGGCATGGGGGTAAGGTAGTGAGAACTGCTTCCACTGAGGAAAGTCAGAGCTCCCAAGGTCAAAGGACCCAGGTCCTGGGTCTGAGAGATAATAGGAAAAAATGGCCTCATTCTTGGCTACATAGCGAGTTCAGGCCAGCCTAAAGAGACTCATGTTACACCAGGCACATCCATAGCTGCCCAGGGCAGAGTGGACAGAACACTTCCTCTTGCTATCCACCCCATGCTCTCTCTCTATCTCTCTCTCTCCTCTCTCACTTTATTTTTTTTCTGCACGAGGTCAACAATGGCTAGGTTCCACTGGCATCTTCCCCAGGCTGCTTGTTTGCAATACTGAAAAAAGGTGGAAAAGATCTTGAGTATAGGGAAACTGACAGCCTGTGGGTTTTCTCTCTGGGCCTCTGGAGTCAGCTGGCCCCTGGCGTTTGCCTGTTCCAGGAGCCACAGTTGTGCCTGGAGAGGGCGGGGCCGGTTGCTAAAGTTGCAGGTGGTGTGGATCCGGAAGCAGGAAGCAGTCTGAGTTCCCAGGACCCTGAGACCTGTCTAGCTGGGGGATAGGAGGCCACTGGAAGCACGTGAGATTGAAGGTAGCCCTGCTAGAGAGAGAGGGTAAGGGGGTGGTGGGTAGGCTGAGACAGCCTAGGTCAGGGTCAGTGTGGGGTCCAGAAGGCTAAGGGTCAGGGAAGGAGGGACATGCAGGGCCCTGGGGCATTGTGGTGGAGAGAGGAGAGGAGGGGTCCTGGGTCTGGAGTGGAGGGAGGAAAGGCTGGAAGGTTCAGGGGGAAGAAGACAGAAGGGGTCAGGGGTCATCTCATGGCAGGGCCAAGCTGTGGGTGGCCTGAGAGGCTTGGACTGAGGTGGTTCTTTGTGGGGCTGGGGCAGGTGGCTCCTGTGGAGATGTCTGCTGAAGACTTGAGACAGGAGCTGGAGGCCACTGCAGAGGAAGTGCTGGGGAGGCTTAAGAGCCGCCAGCTGTTCCAGTCTGAATGGGACACCGCTGCCTTTGTGATCTTCCTCATCTTCGCTGGTGAGTATGGCTGCTGCCCCCAGACCCACAGGCCCCTCCCAGGCTGTAGGGCTGGGGCCACATCTGGATACCTGTCTGTTCTGTCCCCAGGCACTGTGGTTGTGTTGCTACTGATGGTTATAGCTCACTGCTGCTGTTGCTGCTCCTCCTCCCCTAAGCCCAGGAAGGTGAGCCCTGGGAAGGTGAGCCTGGGAAGGTGAACTTGGGAAGGGGAGCCTGCAGTAGCCTCTTACCTACATTAGAATAAGCAGAGACAGTCCTCTGTAGAGGGTCCAGGCACAGCTTTGGGGCGACACCCACAGGACCCCTCTCTTTCTTGCAGGAAAAGCTCAAGGGTGTGGATAACTTGGCCCTGGAACCTTAACCATAGTCCTTGGCATGGGTCCTGGCTGGTGATAGTAACAAAGCTTGTTTGCCAAAGTCTGAGTCTGCACTGTGTTGTTTGGAATACTGAAAAATGGTAGGTAGTGTGGAGAATCAGAGGGATGACCATGTGGCTCCCAGATTGACTTTTCTTTTTCCTCTTTTTGAAACAGGGTCTTTCTGTAGCCCCAGCTGGCCTTGAACTCACAAAGATCTGCCTGCCTCTGCTGTCCAAGTGCTGGAATTAAAGGCGTGCGCCTAGCCCCAGACTGACTTAAATTTTTTTTTTTTTTTTTTTTTTTTTTTTTTTTTTTTGAGACAGGCTCTCACTATGTAGCCCTGGTTGGCCTGGAACTCCCTATGTCGGCTGGTTTCCAACTCAGAGATCTGCCTGCCTTGCCTGTGCCACCACACCTGGTTCCCAGACTGACTTGTGACATCATTCCACAGGGCCACTCTGCAGTCAGGGGTTCCTTCTCTAAGGTGTGTTCTGTGTGAATAAGTTGGTACAGGCTGTGATCTCAGCACTCAAGAGGCTGAGACAGGAAAACTGTGAGTTCCAGGCCAGCCAAGACAACAGCCAGACCCCATCTCAAACACAGAAAGGGGTTTGTGCACGGTATTAAGTGGGGGAAATCAGAACCTAGAAACAGAAGGCCACTGATCATCAGGCCCTACAGCCTGGTCCCTACTCAGACAGAGAGACAGACAGAGGATAGACTCCGGGTGAAATCTAATCTTTATTTTTCAGAGGACTCGGCTGAGGTCACAGAACAAACAGTTCCAGTAGTATAGCTTATTCATGGGGCTGTTTCCCCCCTGCCTAGGTCCCTCTTCCCAGCAACTCACAGCTCAATGTCACCTCTCACCTTCTAATGGGAGCTGAGTGACCCCTGGGGAGGGAGGAGAGTCCTGGGTCTGGTCCCATCCTGAGTCCAAAGGTTCCCATGGTGTCCAGGAGGGCAGGACAAGAAGCATAGCCATGCCTCAGCCCACCTCCTGGACTGCCCCATCAAAACACCAAGCCAGTGCCCCTTCCTCCAGGGGTCTCTAGTGTTGACTCCCAGCAGTGCAAATGTGTCATAGGGTGGGGAGGAAGGAGACATAACTCAGGGTGCGTGGCTGTGACAGACACTATGAGGAGTAAGTGCAGGGAAGGGAGATGCCAAGGCCCAGGGCTGCCCTCAGGAGGGATTCTGGAGCATGCTTAGAAGGGTCTGTAGCTCCAGTAGCTGGAAAACACGGAGATCTGCAGAGGGAGGAGGTGTGGTCAGCAGCAGATGCAGTAGCAAGGCCAGTAGGTACAGGGCTGTGGCTAGCAGGTGCTAAAGGCATAGCCAGTGGCCACAGGGGTGTCATCAAGTGCAAGGGTGTGACCTGGGAGGTGCTATAGGTATGAACAGTGGGGTGCTGCACTCTCTACGACCCAGGTGACATGTCAGTTACAAAAGGGCAGTTTGTCTGGGGAGCATTGTTCCCAGCTGGTGTGTATGTGTACAATGAACTTTATTATTTGGGGGTACTTATTAGGAGATGTGACAAGGGACCCTTGAATGATCCTCCTCCTTTGCCCTGCATCCCCTGCACACACCTTATCCTTGAGCTGCTGGCAGAGCTGAAGGGAGACGGTGAAGTACACCAGAGCATCATTGAGCCAGGGGATCACACACTCCACCTTGTGCACGTGGCTCACCTCTAGGCGCTGTGAACCCCACTCACTGGGAGAGGATGAGAGATGGGTCCCTGAGGTCCAGGTCTGGGCCCAACCCCCAAAATGCAGAGGTAGTAGAGGGGACAGACTCCAGGACCCCACCACTGCATACTTACAACATGGCCCCAGGGCTGTGGAGCACTGCGCCTCCAGCTGGGCGGAAGTTCTAGGTAGAAGCAGCAGAATCCATGAGGCTGAGGTAGAGGGTCCTTGGAAGGGCTGGTGCAGGGCATGAGGGGTGGGGAAAGCTTCACCTTGGTTGAGGTGGGCTGCAAGGTGTGCAGCTGGTACACAGTGAGGCACAGCTTATTGAGGTTGATGTAGACATTGACCAGAAGGTCGGAGGGTAGAGTGGGCGCAAACATCCGCTGGGGAAAGCAAGAGGGATGAGGCCCTCCCACCCCAGGCAGGGGTCCCAGGCCTACCCCAGCTGCTATTTCATAGACTGGGGCACCAGAGACTCCCCCATGTGTCCCCTAAATCTTCCTGTGTGGCTAGCCCAGAGGTGGGTTAACATATTGAGGGGATATGGGGGGTGGGGCGGGGAGGATGGAGACTAAGAACCCCAACCTAGAAAACTGCCTAGGTACATAATTCCCATTGGCTGGACCCTTCAGTGGGACTTCTCTCTCAGGGAAAGGGCTGTCTGAGGCACTGACCGTGAGGCCACTGGCTGCAATCTCGGGCAGGGTAAGGGTGGCTGGGGTGGTAAGTCGGTTCCGGGCTCTGGTCAGCTGCAGCATCACGGCATCCATGAGCTGGGGAGGAGCAGGTTATCACTGCTACTCAGACAGTAGCCCAGGTGCCTCACCTTGTATCCCCTAGCATCAGTGAGCAACCAGGACTGAATCTTACAATCCCAGCAGGGGTGGGTGTTTGACATTCAGAGGTCTACTGCATGGGGAAGTCGGACAGAGCTAAAGCTGGAGTCCTTAGTGTCTGAGTCAGCCATCCTCACACACCATGTGGCCTTGCTTTTTGATTAACACAGGCTTGTACTACCACCACAGCAATGACCATTAGCAGCTAGATCTTGGGGGCTACTTTACCTATATTACCATAGTTAAGAGTCACTATAGCTCATCCCCTTTAGACAGGTAAGGAATTGAAGGTGCAGAGTAGCTAAGAATAGACTTAAGGTTGCACAGCCCACAATATAGGCCCAGGACTGGAACCAGGCCTAATGCTGGGTCCCAGGTGGTGAGCCACTATTATATGGCCAGACCTGTGAACATTGACAGGGGAAGGGTCCGTTTTCAGTGAAGCCTAGGGGCAGGCTGGGACAGGGAGAGCTTACCTTGAGCACCTCAGCTCCTGTCTTGAACTGGTAGCTCTCATCCCGGTTGGCGAGGAGGTAAATAGCTTGGCTCACGTGGTTCCTGGCATCCTGGATCTGGGAACAGTGCCCCCACCCCCTCCATGTGGTCACGAGGCTGAAGTCTATCAGCTTCAGAGCAGCCACATCTCTAGGGTGTCAGTCTGACTCCAGCCCATACACCCCTCACTTCAGGGGCTGACCTCCCAGGGGAAGCTGTCACCACCTGTGGCCACACCATCTTCCTGAACTGCAGTCTCTGAACCTGGAAAGCCAGGCCTTATATAATGTTCAGAGTCAAAGCAGGCTGGATCTTGGCCCAAAGGTCAGATAGACATCTCCCTAGTACCCCTACAAAGTAACAAGTCTGCAGGACTCAAAGGGGAAAACAAACATGAGGAGGAAGAACAGGAGTTGAGCTGCCCTGGATGTGGAATGAGGCCCTAGTGACAACTAGCTCAGAAAGGCCACAAGGGAGGGTGGCAAGCACAGGTAAAGGCCCTGGGGTGCTGACAGGCTTCAGATTGGGTATGCATATGTATGTCTGTGTTTATGCATGCCCATCTGCCTATAATGGCCTACAGAGAGGCAGGAGGCTTGGACTTGATCCCAGGCCTATGGGAAGCCCCTGTAGAGTAAGGGACCATCAATGGTGTGTGTGGGGGGATGTCAGCTGTCCTCACATAGCCAGAGGCTCAAGGCAAGACAAGTTCTCCATCCCCCAACATGGAACAGGCTCTTAGGCCCCAAGGCACTAACTACCCCAGCACTGCTGCTAGGAAATGGCCTCCGAGGTTTGCTGTGGCCACAAGTCCCTAGTGTCAGACCTCTCCAAGGCAGCCGGCCCTGGGGAAGCCTCTGCCCAGGCCTGCCTCAGGGGCTCAAGCCTGGCAGATGGTCCCTCACCTGCTGCAGCTTCCACTGCTTGTCCTCCCGGAAGGCAAAGTGCAGTAGCTGGTTGTTCCGTGGCATCTTCAGGTTCACATCCTGACAGGCCAGAGGTGATAAGTGGGCAGAGAGACACCTGGCCTTCCTGGCCCCAAACACTTTGGTCATTGTTTTGGAGGGGAGGAGTTAGTCAACAGGGAGGTCAAAGAAAAGAAGCTGAGAATGAGGAAGGGCGTGTGTGTGTGTGTGTGTGTGTGTGTGTGTGTGTGCGCGTGTAAATTCCAAAGACTGAAGCTATGCTGAAGCTATGGAGGAGAGGGACTGTTCCACTATGCTTTGGGGCCTGCCTAGCATAGGGCCAGGCATAGATCAGATGCTGCTGAGTTAACTTTGATCTGGGGCTAGCCTGCTAATGCTCGAACGTCACCAAGTCCAGAGATGCCAGGCTGGGCCAAGTATAAACCCACCCTCCTCCTGGCCCTCACTGAATCTGAATCTATACACCCATCCCATGAGGTGGTGTCAAGGTTGCCTGTCATGTTACTGACATACAAGGAAACTGAGGCCCAGACCAGCCAAATGTCCTGCCCAGAGTCATACAGCTGGTGACAGGCTGAGACAAACAAGCAGCTGCCACCACCTCTGTCATACACAGGACTTTTGAGGGTAGGGTATTGGGGACTCACCGCCTGGCTGAGGGCATCCCCTTGTAGAGTCAGCACACCCTTCACCTGGTCTGTGCTATAACAAATGGGAATCAGAGGGGTGCCTGCTAAGGTCCCCCACTCCAGCAGGCTGCCTCTGCTGTTCCAGGATGGAACCATGGGCATCTCCTCCCCAAGGTACCCAAGGAGTATACCCCTTCCAGGGTTTCTGCCCAGGCCCAGCTCACCTACAGCTGCCCAGGATGAAGTTCTCTTGCTTGGCAGGTCCTTCTGTGCCTGAGCCTGGGAGAGTGAATCGGAGAGAGGCCTCCTACAGGAGATAGGGTGGCGCCACACAAGTCACCTCAGTTGGGCCAGTGCTTCATTCCAGGCCTCTAGCTACCCACACCCTTCCACCAGCTAGGAAAGGAATAAAGCAGTCAAGCCTCACCTGGTTCCTTTGACTTAGCCCTACCTACACTTCTAGGACCCTGTGAACCCAGATCTCTTCATTCCACAATCCCAAGTACCTACTGTGGGCAGCCAGGTGGGAATATGGGAGAGGCACAGCACCCAGTTGAATGGGGGTGTTAGAGCAGAGGGGAGAAACCACACAGTAGTCATAGTAACCTGCATTCCTAGGCCATTCTAGGGCCTGTGCTTTGCATCTTGTGGGCAAGTGGCTTACTAATCTTCACCACAGATACGAGGCCGGTTACGGTTAAACAGGCTCAGAAAGTCGAGTAACTTGACTGAGATCAGCTCTCTGAATATCAGGTGTTACTTTTTTTGTTAGAAGAGTCTCATATGTAGTCCATGGCTGGCCTCAAATTCATAATTCTGCCTCAGCCTCCCTGAGCGCTGGGATTACAGGCTTTTGCCACCCACCCACCCACCTGTTTGTTAGTCCTCCTCCTCTAGCCGCCCCCCCCGCCCCCGGGCTATCCCCAAGGCTGGTCAGAGGGAATGGCTACACTCACACAGCTGCTTGCGTAATTATGCGCGGCTTTGCCTGCGTCCAGGACTGGACTCTGATGCGGACAGCCCGTCTGAACACCGCGTGATCGGTGGAAGGGAGTGGGTGTGGAGGGGCCGGCCCGGGCGCGTTACCTTGAGGATGTCCTGCAGCTGTCTCAGCACAGCGTGCACCTCGGCGTGCAGCAGCCAGCGGAACTCCTCCTCCTGCGGACAGACCACTGTCAGGCCCGGCCCGGTCCAGCCAGGCCCGGCCCGCTCCACCACCCGCCTCACCAGTACAGCCCGTTCCGCCGCACTCGCAGCCATCGCTGTCGCCATCGTCGCGGCCCTGCGCGTCTCCGACTCGGTCTCGGGTCCGCAGTGCGTGAGCCGCGCCCGCCCCTTCTCCTCCGCACCGTGCGGATTGGTGAACCGGGCGCAAGCCCCGCCCCCATGCCGTCAGTAGCTCCCGCGGCCCGCGAGGGCTCAGGTCTGGGCGGATTTCGCCAGCTTTGCCCGCCCAGCACCGCCCTGACCACAGCTCTTTAGCCCCGCCCTTTTTACTTACTGATTGGCCGACAGAGCCTTTCTTCACAGTGGGGACCCGCACCACTCGGTGAGGCGGAGCCCGCCCAGCCCGGGCGCTGCACCAGCATCCCAAAGAGGTAAAGGGGATGCCATCAAGCTCCCGCCCCAGGTCCCCAGGCGCTTGGGCTCACAGGGCACAGCTGTGGTACCAAGAAATGTTTTATTTTTCTTGCAGTAGCTTTGTTAATTGCACAAAATCATGTTTTTGTCATTTAAACATCACACAATCCTATTCTGAAAGACATATGTTCATTAAAAACAAAGCAAAAATAAAAATTCACAACCTTAATCACCTAGATTTGTCATTTAAAGGAAAGGGGGAGGGGCTTTCTTATAAGCATTTTCACAAGTGTCACATTTTCTCCTTAAAAGGGAAGGATTTCAAAATAAAGATGAAATAGCTTAAACAGAAAGTCATAAAAAGGAACTTTACAGAATTGTCAACAATATTAAGACAACATTAACTAACCAGTTTCCTTAAAGCATCCTCCCCCCACCCTCCCAGGACAGGCTTGTGTCCGGACAGAAATGTTCAGCATCCTAGTTTGAAACCAGCAGTTGCACTGAACCCCCATGGGCATTCCCTATCCCAGGAAGAGTTGTGAATAGGAGGGCAAGGGAGCCTGCCCCAGTGTGGTTCCCTATGTATACACAGCCATGTACTTCACTGCAAATGCTGCCTTGCAAACCGTGTCTTTGGAATTCCCAACCCATGACAAGGCTCATGTGACAGTCTAAGTCCCTCTGGTCGTCTCCACAAGGCCTGCTGTGGATGCCTGGCTCCACCTCTGAGGGGAAATTAGGTTGGAGCAGGCCCAGTTCTCTTCCCTCCACACAGACCCAGAACTGTGATACTGGCAAGAGCAGCTAGTGAAGACACTCAAGAGCTGAGCCTCCAAAATGCTCATCATTCGTTCTGGTCAGGCTGGGTTAGATGGGGTGGAACAGAAATACTAATTCCATGGGAGGAATGGGGCAGGGAGTGAGAAGTGGGACATGCAGGGGCCCTGTGTAGAGCAAGCTGAACAGTTGGTCCAGCTGAAGGCTGTCATAACGGAAACAGGAAGGAGCAACTTCCATTCTCCACTGCTCCCAGTGCCCTCAGGACCCCTTTCCAAGGGCTGGAATGCAAATCCAAACACCAAAATTGCCTGGGAGGAGCTGGCTCCCCACCTGGGAGGTATAGGCTTCCCAGAACCAACAGCAATGAGTCTGCAAATTCTGCTCCCCATGCAGAGGTGGTTTGTGCGGCCATGCTGGTCTCTCTCAGGTTCACAAAAGCATTCTGAGAGCTACTGCTCATTGGTAGTCTCTATAGGAAAATCCACCTTGGCTGGAGGCCCTCTGTAGGGAGTCTGCTGGTTCACACTGGCCCAGGGCCTCTTCTTCCAGGGATCCTGTGGGGGGCCTTGGACCCCTGGCCAGCGCCTGCCCTGGGGAAGCAGAGGGAAAGCTTCCAGTGTTCCCCACCAATTCTAGTTCCTGTAGTTCCTTGATAGTTTCTTGGCCAGAATGAGGCCAGGACAGGACAAGCTTGAAAGAAAAGCCAGGCAGCAGTTTCTGGGCAGCTTCTATCCTGGGGTGAGAGGGCGGGGGAGGGAGAGGGAGAGAGGAAAGAGAGGGGGGAGAGAGGGGGGGAGAGAGAGAGAGAGAGAGAGAGAGAGAGAGAGAGAAACAATACGAGAGAAACACAAAAAGTACACAGCCTCCTGCTCCTCCAGGGCCAATGCCCAGCTCAAGAGCTTCTAGATAGCCACCTGTTAAGGCCCTCACTCCCTGCCCAGGACCTCAGGGAGGGAGAGTGCTGCTGTGTGCTGTACTGATGCAAGTCTCAAAGTTTGTATAAAAGGAAATGGAGACAGGAGACTGGTCCAGAGCTAAGTCCCAGCTCCCTAACCCCACATTGGGAAGAGGGGCCAAAGAGAAGATAGGAGGGGTGGACGGTGGTGAGGCTTAGTGTATGTAGGCTCGGTACACGGCAGACATATCATTGTCAGACTGGTCCAGTGCCTTGGCTCTTTTGTACACCTGGGGGGGCGGAAAAAGAGGTAGGGATCAGTCTCCAGTTGCAGAACTGCTGTGTGGAGACCCAGCCCTGATTCTTGGAGGCAGTTTAGATGAGGCTCTCTTGGTAGGCAGGTTGTGGAGCCTGGGCTGTCTGGGTATGAATCTTGGCTTGATGTGGGGTAAATGCCATAGCTTCTGCGGACTTGTGCCACAGCTTGATCTACAGAAGGAACGGTCCTGATCCCCATGGTTTATTGAGAGGGCTGCGTGCACTCAAGAATGTTAGATGCTTGGTGATGTTGTTAGGAGTCATGGTGGTGGTCCTTGCTGTGGATGACTCTTCAAAAATGTCTTCTTATCCTTGGGGCTACTGTGCCCTGCTAGTCCCTCTGCATAGAATCTGCAAAATGGCTGGCAACTCCCAGCCAGTATTTCAAAGGCCCTTTCGAGTCTTCCTCAAAACAGCAGCTGTGCCCTCTGCTTTACCTGCCACCTCTGCTGCTTTCTGTTTTTTAGGCAGGGTTTTCTTATGTAACCCAGGCTGACCTCATACTCTTGAGCCACTGAGTGCTGAGATTAAAAGCCCAGTATTAAATGTTTAATTTAGCTATATCCCAGGTTGGCCTTGAACTGAAGATGGCAGCTGAGAATGATCTTGAACTTCTGATACTCTTGCCTTCATTTTTTGAGAGCTGAGATTAGAGTGTAGGCTACCATATTCAGATTATTCATTTTTCCTTTTTCTTCTTTTTCTTTTTTTTTGAGATAGGGTCTCAGCCCTGGTCAGTATGGAATTCACTATGTAGACCAGGTTGGCTTTGAACTCATAGAGATCCACCTGAATCTGCTTCCTGAGTGCTGGGATGAAAGGCGTGGTCTACCACCCTGGCTTTATTTCTTACATGATAAAATTTTAAAAAAATTATTTATGTGTATGAGTATTTTTTTCTGCATGTAAGTACACCTGTGTCATGCAATGCCTACGGAGGTCAGAAAAGGACACTGGATCCCTTGAAAATGGAGTTAAAGATGTTAGCTGTCATATGGGTGCTGGGACGAATCCAGGTCCTCTGCAAGAGCAGTCAGTGTGCTTAACTGATGAGCAATCTCTCCAGTCACATGCTAAAATCTTTGTTTAAAAGCTTCATGCTTATTTTATGCTCCCTTCCATCAAAATATAAGTCCCACTGGGGGTGTGGCGCTGGCTGCACACCAACACATTCCCAGTGAACTAAGATACTAGGGAGTACATGCCAGTTTGAAAAGAAAGCTATTGTGTGACAGGCAATAAATAGGACAGCCAGCTCTGAAGGGAGGCTGCACAATCCAGGCAGAGTTACCATATAGGTCTGGTATAGCTGTCAACACAGAATGAAGGCTATGTGAAGACATTTCTAGAACAAAAACCAAGAACATCATCACTGGCAGGACTGTGATTTAAGAAATTTTTAAAGAAGGTCTTCCACCTGGGTTTGAATCCCAGCACTCCCAAGACAGCTAAGAACTGTCCGTAACTCCAGTTCCACGGGATCTGACAGCCTCTTCTGTCCTCCTTGGGCACTGCATGACACGGATGCATTTACCTACATGTAGGCAATACATGCATACACATAAAGATATAAAAATAATAAATAAAATATTAAAAAAAAGAGGTCTTCTCAGCTGAAAGGAAACAATACTGTAGAAAAATCCAGTTTTTTTTTTTTTTGTTGTTTGTTTTTTGAGACAGGGTCTTCCTGTAGCCCTGGCTGGCCTGGAACCTCTCCTGTAGACCAGGCTGACCATGACTGAGATTCACTTGCCTCTGCCTTCCGAGTGCTGGGATTGAAGCTGTATACCACCACTCATAGGCCCAGAAACCCATTTTTTTAAAGAAGAAACAGAGAAAAGTGGAAACAGTTATTTAGAGGAATGAGGTAAGAAACTCTTGTTGCCAGGCGTGGTGGCGCACGCCTTTAGTCCCAGCACTCGGGAGGCAGAGGCAGGCCGATCTCTGTGAGTTTGAGGCCTGCTTGGTCTACATAGTGAGTTCCAGGTCAGCTGGGGCTACAGGGAGACCCTGTCTCAAAAAGACAAAAGAAAAGAAAAGAAATCTCTTGTTAAGGACCAGTGAGTGGCAAAGGAATCTATGTGATTGGGTTTCTATTTTACGAAAATGGGCACAAGATGAATTCTGAGAAGGGTAAGGGTATCTACTCTAGCGCTCAATAAGAGGAAACATTGCTAAAAACAAAAGATTCTAACACAGATAACCGTACAGAAGTCAAGAAAGAAGAAACAGATGAAGACAGGGACTAACAGAAACTAAATGATAAAAAGATAGCTCCAAATCCAATCACACTTCAATTTAGAAGCAACTGTTCCAGGAATGGTCAACATTGAGAGTCTGCCCTCAGGGCCTGCATTGTGTAGAGTGTGAATTCACTAGATCCAGGGGCCTGAAAGTAGAGACTCTGCTGTGAAAAGAACTAAAACTACAAAGAACATTTTATTTTTGAGCTGGCCTGAAACTTGCTCTATAGGCCAGGCTGGCCTTGATCTCAGAGTTCTGTCTACCTCTGTCTCTTAGTGCTGGGATAAAGACGTGTGTATCACATGCAGTCAAAGAACACTTTGGAACCACATCTAGGATGAGCTTTATGGAAAAGTTGTAAAATACAAAAGAGATTCCACTACTGAGAGTCCATGGTTACAAATTAAATGGGAACTAAAAGAAGTTCCAGTTAGGGACTAGAGAGATGGCTCAATGGTTAAGAGCACTAGCTGGTCTTGCAGAGGACGTTTTTGGTTCTCAGCATCCACATGGCAGCTAACAACCACCTTTGAATTCCAGGGGGATTCAATGCCTTCTGGCCTCCACAAGCACCAGGCACACACATAACACGTTAAAACACTCATACTCACTGGAGGGGAGGCAGAAGCTAGAAGGTACTTAAGTACAGAAATAAGACAGCAGCTAAGACAACAAGTAACTTTTTCCAAAAAACAAACTTCTTAAAAAAACAAGTGTGAGGTCAATACATTATGTGAAAAGATACAAATAGAACAAGCACTGCAACTGAACAGTAGATACTGTGAGGAAGGAGGAAAAATGTAGGTCCTGGCCATGGACTGCGTGTACACTGCAGGATTCTATAATGTGTGGTGGAGCATACCTGTAATCTCAGGTATGGGGGTGGGGGGACTGAGGCAGGAGGACTGTGAGTCTGAGACCAGCCTGGGCTACCTAATGAGATTCAAAAGAGCCTGAGGTACAAAACGAAACCTTATCTGAGAAGGGTAACAGAAATTCCAGAGTCACAGTTGAAATATGGTATTTTGAACAGTTAACCATCTTGTTGAATACCTGTAGTCACTGCAGAATACAAATTCTCAATCTCAGAGATCTACCTGCTTCTATGCCTGGCTTTTCCCCAATTTTTAAACTTTATTTTGAGACAAGGTCTTACTAAGTTGTACAGGCTGGCCTTGACTTCTTCTGCTTCAGTCTCCTGAATACCTGGGGCTACAATTGTACACCACCACACCTCTAAAACTTTAGAATAATCTACAGATAAAGAGGAAAGCACATGGAAATAAATTATTGTGGCTCAGAAGGAAATTGACAGCTTCCATGTTCATGTCATAATGAAGAAGGTCTAGAACTGAGGCCTTGTGTCTCCCTTCAGGGATTAGATAGCAAAAATGATTTAGATCTTAAAGACAGAAACCAGACTGTGTCAGGAAAACAACAGAATAGTGCAATTTGACACATGTATGTTCTTCTTTCTTGGCCAAATATAGTGAAAATAAAATATGAAAAAATACGAGCCAGGTGTGGGAGTGCGTACTTGTAATCTGAACACTCAGTAGGCTGAGGCAAGAGTGACTGGAAGTTCAAGGTCAGCCTGGGCTACACAGTAAGACCCTGTCTCAATAAAATAAAGTAAAATAAAATGGAAGAAAAAAATGGCAATGAAAAAAATAAGCTAAGCAAGTAGAAGGACAATTAATAAATAAGAATTGGAAGGCTCTAGGGCCTGGGGCAGTCACTGTCAAGTTACCTCATTGGCTGCAGCTGCCATGGGAGTTGGGTGGTTGACAGCATCGCCCAGTGCAATGGCCAGGCGGAGATCCTTCTGAATGTATTTCAGGTAGAAGTCAGGTTTAAAGTTTCCTTGCAGAATATCTGAGGAGGGGAAGGCACTCATCAGGACTCCAAGATTCCTCTATGAAAGCCTCTTGCACAGTGTCACGTTCACTTCCAGCATTTCCACAGGGTATAGCCTTGTGGAAACACTTATGCCTCATCCCTCAAGAGGCTGAATCCTGAGTCTGGGCCCCCAATCCTACCCACTGTGTCTCTTGGGCCTCCTCTGACTTGGGCAAGGATTGACTAGGAAGGGAAATCTTTCAACCCAATGAACCATGAAAGAAGGACTCTTCTGGGACAGTCTGACTCAGCTCCCTAGCTCTAATTAAAACAAAAACGTGAGAGGCCAAAGGTTACTTACTTTGGCACTTCTGGTCCAGGAAGATGCTGGCCAACTGTCCCTGATTGAGGATGTCCAAGAGTGTCTGCTGTGACTGGCCTGTCACCTGGGCCAGTGTCAGGCCCTCAGCGATGGTGGCCATGAAGCTTCCTTGGACCATGTTCACAATCAGCATCATCTTGGCTGCATTGCCAACTTCACCTGCCCAGGACAAAGATGATTCCCAAGAATCTCACAGGCAGGGCCTCTCTGCCTTCCCTACCCATGTACCCTGGGAGCCTCTTTCATATACCCTAGACAGGAATGATTCTTCTTTCTTCCAGGCACTAACTATACCTGGTAAGAGGCCAAGTGAGGATGGATGCTGTCCCCAGTTCACCAGTGTGGGCTCCCAGCCTCCAGGCCTGATATGGCCAGACAGGAGGGCAGTATATTACCTAGAAAGAAGGAGGTCTTTCCCATTGCCTGGAAACAGCTGCTGCAGTCCTCATATAAACCCCTGTCTCCTGCTGCCAAGATCACCAACATCCCGTCATTGGACAATTGCTGATTCCCTGAGACTGGGGCTTCCAGAAAGCGCCCCCCTCTGGATACAATCACCTGTAAGGAAAGTCACAGCTTCTGGGGCCCTTGCCTCTCACTGCCTCTCCAGGTAGGGAAGAAGGAACATCCTTAGGGATCATGGAATCTTATCATAGGGTGTGTTAGCATGCAACTATCTAAACTGAGGTCCCAAGCTGACACATGTACCAAAGCCTACTGCTATGATGAGTCAGACAGGCCATCCTTTAAACAGAAATGAGTCACAGACAGTAAGAAGGGAGCTGGGGTCTGCATCTTGGTTCCCAGTATTCTGGATTTTTCAGAGACTGGGGGTAAACATGGCTATGTTGATGGCTGGACTGAAGTCCTGCCCTGTGGACCCTGCCCATCCCTGACCCAGTCACCCTCAAAGCACAAGTGGGCCCAGAAGACTGGGAGGAGGGACATTGTGCCAGACTCAACTGCAGATAGTAGCTTAAACCAAAAGGGCCACAGAGGCATTCTGGAGGTGTCTCACTGGGTTGTCAGCATGGTACTGCCTGTCTACTAGCCTACGGTAACCTTCTATGGTCATTCCAACCAGCTGAGGCTGTGAAGTAGAACAGTCAAGAGGCTAGTCCCAAGGCTCCCGGTATCCACTCTGTCTTTGGCACTAAAGTAACCAAACTGCTCATACTTATGTGGTTAGTCTGAGTCTTGGGCTCCCACTGAAAAGATGATCCAGAGCAAGCCTGGATAAAGCTGCTACCTGGGCCAGCTCAGTGACTGTGTCTGCATCCACCGTTGACATGTCCACATAGCACTTCCCGGGGCGGATTCCTTGTAGTACACCACTTGGGCCCAGTACCAGCTGTGGGGACATGGAGAAACAAAAGCCCAGGCTTGCAGCTAACCACTCAGGAGTTCCTGAGTCCCTGTTGCTTTTTTGGCTCATTTTGTGATCAGGAATTAAGTATTAAGGCTGAAAAGGAAAGAGCCACTAAATATTTAAGGGACAGAAAAGTAATGCTACACTGTGGCCCTTTATTTATTTTTTTGGTCTTTTTGAGTCAGGGTCTCCCTTGTAGCCCCAGCTGTCCTGGAACTCACTATGTAGACCAGGCTGGCCTTGAATGCACAGAGATCTGCCTGCCTCTGCCTCCCAAGTGCTGGGATTAAAGGTGTGCGCCACCACGCCTGGCCTATTTTTTTAATTTTAATGTGTATGCATTTATCGCCTGCATGTAGGTAAGTGCACCCGTGTCATGCAATGCCTGTGGAGGACTGAAGAGGCTGACGGATCCCCAGGGAC